CTTATTAGTTTCACTCTGTCCGTCCGTCCGTCTGTCCGTGTGTCTGTTTATAAAACTTCTACACCCTTGACAATAGAAAGCTAAAATTTTGTACGTATATAGATCTTTACCAGAAACTTATTTCCGTAGAACAAATTTTTACCTATCTCCCCTACTCTAGAAGTTATACCCCCTCAAAACCCTAAAAATGGCTTTTTTTAACTATTTGTTGCAATGAAACCATAAGCATTTGCGAAATTTTGCGAACGCAGAAAGGCAGGGGCTTGCTTCCCCTAGCGCGGTATACTATAGTTAAACTTTAGAAAAACGAAATGGCCATTCAAATTTACCGTTATATAAAGTCTTTTTTTCCAAATTTTTGATGTCGTTTTTTTTCTATACCCCAGCATGTAGAAGCTTGATATTTTAGGGGCTTTTAGACATTAACAAATAGTTCATTTCGTTAGAAAAAAATTTTTTTCTATCTCCACCCCCTCTCAAGTTATTGCCTCTTGAAATTTGTAAAATTTGAATTTTTGGTTTTGAAAATAACACCTTATATTTTCAAAACCGCAAGCTTTTTCAAATTTCTATAAACGCTAAAAGCTAAAGGTAAATCCCATGACATTAAAAAATATAATTATTTTTCTTAACTCGCACAATTAACCCTTAAAATCGAGCATTATGTTAACCCCACTTTGTATTAATTTTTGCTTTATTTCAAAGACTGAATAGATCGTTCATCCTAAATATATGCAATCCTAGAAATAGTTGTGTATATGAATGAAAATAATTTTAATAGTGTGATAGGTATACATAGACTGTGTTTAAAGTAGTATTTTCACTAATATTGCTGAAGGGAAAAGTGCTACAAAACATTGTTTTGACCCAACTTTATTTTTCTTTTCTGTTGATGCCGATTTTATTTGATTTTTCAAATCACATTCTCTGCCTGTTATTTGCAGATTTCATTCTGTAGCACCTTACAAAGACTCTCTAACTCGGTTATTCTCGAGTCCTGAGTATCCAATATACTCTCCTGTACAAAATGCGGATTATCATCCTTAACTCTGTCATTTTTCTCGGCAATCACCAATGGGGGTGATCGCATGACCACGATCTCCTTCTTTATGGGTCCATCAACGCCGATCTACTATGTAATTGGTCTATGACTGCAATTGATCTCCCCCAGAATCCGTGAAACCAGCCTCCGAAGAGTGTGGATTTTTCAGCATTACTGGATTACCACCTGGGTTATTCAATCCTTATATTTGGTTCATTGAATTTGTTTTGTATTATTTCGGAATTTTCTTCTCCTTGCCTTTGAAAATAATTCCCTCGTGCAAGGCAGTATATATGAGTTCTGCCGTCCCTCAAGGATCAGTCGCAGACCAGAGAACCGCTCATTGTGAGTCCATCGCATCTGGATTTCTATTTGGATTTTAGTGGACCGTTACCACAAGCATACCTTACTGCGGATATTTCATGGCCCAATACGCCGCTGATGCTATTGCGATTTCTGTTTTTGGACTTTCATTTAAAATTTCCACAGCAAGGATCTGATTTTTCAAATTCCGTACAGTTAAAATAAAAATGGACAACAAATAAATAAATAAAGTTGGGTCAAACCAATGATTTGTATTGTAACACTTTTCCCTTCAATACGGAAGTACTGCTTCTAAAAACAATCTGGGTATACATACTACGCTGTTATAAATAAATTTCTTTTATTCATATACGAAACTATTTCATTAATGATTGCATATATTTAGGATGAGTGTGTGCATATATGCATATAATAATTGCATATATTAGTTTAGGATGCAGTCTTTAAAAATAAGCAGAAATAAATTTAAAGAGGCTAACATGCTTGATTTTAAGCGTTATTTACGTGAGTTAAGAAACATTTTTATTTTTTTAATGGCATAGAATTTACCGTTAGCTTTCTGCATTTATAGAAATTTGAAAAAAATCGGTCATATAAGGTGCTAACAACTCCAATTTTTCACAAATTTCGTGAGGCGATAACTTGAGAGGTGGTGGGGGTGGGGGTGGGAAAAAATTTTCTTCTAACGAAAAGAACTATTTATTAGCGTCTAAGAGCCGTTAAAATTTTTAAGAGGAGAAAAATTTTTTAATTTTTCTGACTTTAACTCGTTCCGTCATCCATCTGTTCTGCAGTTGCATAAAGAAATTTCCATTAAGTTAAAATTATTAGTGTAATAAGGACATTACTTATTAATTTCACAATTATGATGTTGTATTAGTAAATTCATAATGTTAACTTATTTTAGGATTTTACGCGGTACAAATCTTATAGCTCCCCCATCCTATAAGAGATAAAAACTTTGTTCTGCGAAAATAAATTTCCAGTAAAGATCTGTGTACGCATAATTTCAGCTTTCTATCAAGGATGTTCAAAACTTCAAAAACAATGTATGTACATATATGCTAACCTTATTATTTTCGGTATATTTTCTGATGTCTTGAGGTAGCAACATTTTGGATCTGGCAAATAAATGTATTCGTCGATCATAATTTAAAATGTCATTCGAGTCGTCAAGTCCATTCGACTCGCCTAGCCATTCGCTCCACCGATCATAATTCGCTCCGAAACGTATTTCTTCTTCTACCTATTCAATAGCTGCTTTTTAACAGTTTTTCTAATAATAATGTATTCCGAATATATCCGGATGTTCTAAATAATTTTTTGACGATTGTGATATTGTATTTGCCTACTCTATTATTATTTGTAAAAACTTTAAGATCTGCAGTATTAATTTGTTTATATTTTAAATTTGGGAAGAACAATACAATAGCTTAAAAATATTTTTCTTTGTAAAAGATTGATACTAGGATAACTGTCATCATATTTTTATTGCAAACATTATATTGTTCTTAAATATTATGTACACACTATATTGTTGTACCATGAAACACACTACCTTTTACTATACTTATATTACTATATATTTGCATTAAGTGTTTGAATTTCTTCGAAAGACAAAATATCACTAGCCAAAATGTTCTGTTTATTGAATTTAACTTTTATGTTATCTATATATTTTATCTCATCTATGAAAAATTGGTTACTGTTGAGTTAATTTACCAAAAATTTCACTTTCTTATTAAGAGAGTTGTTAAGGAATTTATCAATTGATTTTCGTTTTTTAACATGATTTGATATACTTATTCTAAATAGCTGATATTTCTTTAATAATTGTTTTATAATTATTTGCTTGTTCTACGAGTTGTTGTCAAGTTATATGTAGATAATAAGTTCCCGTACAGAATTGGTATTTTAATTAGATTTAAAACTGGAGTATTAATTAAACATTCATAGTTGTTTAGGATCTAATTTATTATAATTTTTTTCACGAGTAACATTGTAAGCTTTATCCAAAAATTGTGGTTTTTGGTTAAAACAATATTCTTTACTGGGATGTTATTTTAAAAATTTCATTGACAATCCTGTTTATGCTCTCACTTTAATCCTTGCTCAGTTTATCATTGAACACATAATAGTTATTAAGCCTGCATATATTGGTTAATACAGAGAAAAATTTTTTCTATGTTATTTGTTATTCTGCAAAAGCGGATTTTATCTATTAATTGCTCTGACAAAAGTTTTTCTCGGTTATCAGATATTAAAATCGTTTTAACATCAAAAGAACACTGTAAATTCAATGATGTTATATAAATTTGGTATGGAATTTTTAACTACTTGAAGCAGTCATCTGCGGTCCTATGTCCATCATAGGTGTATATTCTTGTTCAGTGTAAAATTCTGCGTTGATTTAGACATATCCGTCCGTCCGATCGCACGATAACTAGTGCAGGGTATTATTCAGGTGAACTTTATAAAAATTTGGTCTATTTACTTAAAAACAAGAGAAACAAAAATTTTTTATAATACTGTTGCAAAAAGGAAATAACTAGTTTTATTGAATATGTTAGAATTAAATCGTATTAATTTTCCATAAAATTTTTTAATAGCATTTCATGGGATTCGGGTAACACGAAGCGAAACTCTGCTAAGAGCCAAGTTTACATTTTTCTAGGTATGTTAACCATAAGCTTGCTAATGTCCTTAAAATTGGGAAGAAGTATATAGCAGGCATTTTTATAATATTCTGTAACACTTTCACTTAACAAGACAATACACATTGCGGTCGGATATGTGCTGATCACATCAGATTTTTTTGGTTTTATTTAAAGGTCATTGTTGCGTATATGTACTTTTTATTTATAAGTACTTATTTGAAAATAAAACTTCCTCGTTAAAGTTCAAATCAAGATCAAACTTTATTTTTTCTCTTAACATATTATATTATGCTTATTATATGAAGTACTTACTTACCGTTTTTTAAAATAGCTTTTGATTTTTAATTTAAAAAATTTATGATTGAGCAGATATTACTCAAAAGCGGTGAGCCTGACACCAATTATGGGCATACTGTTATGTAGGTTTATAAATTGACAATTGACTTTAATTTCAGAACTACCCTTAAAAATCCGAATTTCCACCCATATGACTTTTTTGATAAAAAACTCCAACTAATTACCTCCCGAGAGATTGAACACTTGGAGCGAACCATGCTGTGTATAGAATACACACATTATTAAAATTACATTATACATCAATAAATAATGCCATATGTACGATATTGTGCAAAAAGTTTCAAACAGTTTAAACTGCTATGAAAATTGGTTCAGCACCTAGTGTAAAATTTTTTTCAAAATCGGTATCGCGAAATCTCAAGCCCGAGCAACTTGTTACAAGTAGCCTTAAAAATATTACCAAATGTAGCTCCACAGTATGTCATATACAAGTTTTTCTTGCGCAAAGTTTCTTGAATATGGAGACCTTTTTTCTCTGAGGGCCTGAGGCCTCACAGGAAAAAAGAATAAACACGGACATACTTATAAGAATTCTACGTTTTTAACTTATAAGATATTTGCAAAAATGTTTACAAATATTCATGGTAATGTTTTTATAATTATTTCAAATTTTCTTTAAGGGAACACGACCAACTGGTAAAATTGTCATGGAAAAAAAGAAGAAATCATTAGAAAAAGAAGATCAAGACATTGACCCGGATTTGGAGGAGAGGTATTTATTTAAGTGCATTTATTATCAAATTGCTAAATATATTTTGCATACTATTTTATTTTGAATGCAAAAACTGAAGCGCACATTATTTCAATGATAATGCACATTATCAAAATAATCCCTGTTTCTTCCATTCATCTTAGTATTTACAATCTTATTTATGACCATTCTAAAAAATAACAAATGCATTTATTTTCATTGGCGTTGAATTTATTTTTATTTTAAAGTATATTCCAAATTTATTAGATTCTTTACCATAGACGTAGAAAACTTTATGGAAGTGAAAACGCTTATGGTAACGAATCGATGTTTTATTTTGTCTTACGAAAGATGCTTTTTGCACAAACTAATAACTCAAATTTTGCGAAATTGACATACGTATATTGTTCAGGGTAAGGTCTAGTTATAATAATAAAAACAATCCGATACATATGACTTTGCAAATTGTAGAAATGCTTAAAATACTCCTTCCCAAAAATTTACATTACTTTGCAAGCAAACTGATTTTGCAGAGTTGAGAACTATTTAAGTTTAAAATTTCAATTTACTTGCATTATATGTACTACATATAAAAATTTATTCCAGTTGTTGGCTAGATTAATTTAAATTACAAAATGCTTTATTTTATATGATTTTTCATGGCCTACCTTAATATTTAAAGTTTTAAAAAACGATTAAATAATAAAAAAAAAATGATGTGATCAGCACATAACCTACCGAATTTTGTATTCTCTTGTTTAGAGCAAGTTGTTGAAAATACAAATTGTTAAAATAGTTTCATTATTATGGTGAATGTTTTGATTTCTAATTACTATTGTGAATTTAATTAATACAATTTAATTACTAAAATAATTTTGCAACCTCAATGGCAACACCAATTCATACTTATTTGCCATTGTAATTTTTCACTTATATGTATGTATATCATACCCAAATAAAAGGTAGTTCATTTCTGATTGTATATAACAAAGGTTATGGGCCCAGCCGGCCAAAAATTGAAAGAAGTAAAATTGATATTTCGAAAGATCTGTGTGATCATATTAAAATTTAAAAATAGAAATCTTGCTTATACGATCTGTGTGATCAAAATTAAATTTTTGATAATATAAATACTAAATAATAGTAAATAATCATATTGGATGTGAACATTATGGCGTATCAAAACATTGTAAAAGTGGAGCAATTAACTAGGGACAACTATGACACGTGGAAGGTCCAGATGGAAGCTGTACTGGTAAAAAGTGATTTTTGGGACTATGTGAATGGAAAAATTAGCAAACCTGGTGATATAGGAAAAGCAGCGGAATGGAACAAAATTGATTAAAAAAGCAAAAGCAGATATAATTTTATCGGTAAGTTCACCATTATTAAAAGATATTAAAAATTGTGAAACATCAAATGCCGTGTGGATGAAGTTGAAGGATATTTGCGGCTCTGGTACACCGGCTCGTAAGGCTGCCTTGTTTAAAAAACTTTTACTGAGTAGGGCGTCGAACGAATCAAATATTGACGAGCACGTTTCGAGATTTTTTGATGTTGTTGATAAATTAAAATCTATTGGTGTATCAGTTGACGATGAGTTAATTTCAATTTTGCTACTATATAGTTTGCCAGAAACCTTTGATAATTTTAGGATTGCGATAGAAAGTCGAGATTTGTTACCAAATTCAAAACTTTGAATTTGGTAACAAATTCTCCGCTCTGTGCAAAATTTATCAAAGCCTTAATTGTTAACAAATATAATAAATATAAGAGAGAAAGCAATAATAATAGATGTCAAAGTTATAGTAAAAAAGATAGTCGTTCGATAATTTGTTACAATTGTAGAAATGTTGGACACATTGCCTCGAATTGTAGATATAAACATAATAATAAAGAAAGGTCCTCTGCTGCAGAAGTGCTGAAATGTTTTTATCAGAGGAGATACATTTTGTGCATAACAATAAGGATGTTATAACTCACATTGGTGATGTTTCATCTAAATGGATCTTACACAGTGGCGCAAAATCACATGTGGTAAGGATTTGAATAAATTTGAAAAATTTTACGAAACCCAAAATGCTGAAGTAAATTTAGCAAATGAAAAATGTACAAAAGTTAAAGGTAAAGGTATTATAAGATATGATGATAATATTAAATTAAAAAATGTTTTATACGTACCTGAATTAAGAATGAATTTAATGTCGGTAAGCAAAATAACAGACAACAATTATAAAGTCATTTTTGATAAGAATTTTGCCACTATTTTAAATTGTAATAATGAAATTATTTTAGAAGCTGTAAAAGAAAATGGTCTATATCACATTAAGAATGAATTTAAGGATCAAGTGAATTACGTATCGAATAATGAAAATTTGGAATTATGGCAAAATCGATATAGCCATTTAAATTATAAAGCACTAGAAAACATAATAAAAAAACAAAAGGTAAACGGAATAAAAATAAGAAATATTCAGAATAAGCACAATGCATGTGAGATTTGTATTCAGGGCAAACAAACTAGATTGCCGTTTGAAAAATTAAATAAAATAAGACAAAGGGCTCCATTGGAATTAGTCCATAGTGATCTTTGTGGTCCGTTGAGGACAAAATAGTAGTGGTGCTTTGTACTTCATATCATTTATTGATGGTGCGACTAGATGGTCTGAAATCTATTTTTTAAAGAATAAATATGATGCCCTTGATGCTTTTAAGAAATTTAAAGCTAAAGCTGAAAATTTTTGTGGTAAAAAGATAAAATCTTACCGTACAGATAATGGTAAAGAATTCGTTAATAAAGATTTTTCAAATTTTTTAGAAAATGCACGTATACACCATCAATTAACTGCTGCATATACACCTCAACAAAATGGTGTAGCAGATGGTAAAAATCGAACTCTTGTTGAGATGGCTAGGTGTATACTTATATAGTCAGGTTTCCCGAAGTATTTATGGGCAGAGGCCATATCTACCGCAAATAACATATAAAATAAATGTCCATCAAACAGTTTAGATAATGAGTTACCTTATTATTTATGGAAAGGTTCCAAACCTGAAGTAAAGTACTTTAGAAACTTCGGTACTCTAGCATACATATTGGATAAAAGGCCAGGAAAAGAAAAATTCGAAAAAAATCTGAACCACTTTATTTAGTGGGATATTGCGAAAATGCTAAGGCTTATCGGTTGTGGAATAAAACAAACCGAAACATAATTAAAAGTCGAGATGTTATATTTGTAAATGAGTTGATTAACAACAATTTAAATGAATATAATACTAGCGAAAACACTGTGAAAATTTACGAACCAGTAAAAAATGATATTGAATTTTATGAATTTATTAAGCCTGAAAATGTTAAAGAAAATGTAAATATAGATAAAAACATAAACAAGAATATAAATATACATAGATACTGAAATAGACCATAATGTAAATATAGATGAAGAAATAGACAAAGGAATTGAAAATAAATTAGAAAACCAAGAAAATGAAAATATTTCAAAAAATTTTAATAAAGAAATAAATGAAGGTAAAAAACGAAAAAAAGGAAGACCGCGTTTGGTTCGTACAGGTACTCGAGGAAGACCTAAAAAATTATTTAATAGAGTAGAAAATGAAAATACAAATCAAGAAACTGAAAGTAGTACATCTGAAGATTTTGATACTCCAACATCAGACCTTGAAAACTCATTATTAGTCGAAATACCTGAAAAAATCGAAGAAGTTTACAACAGTCCAAATAAGAAAGAATGGCTTGAAGATATACAAAAATAATTAGAGGCCCATAAACAAAACAAAACATGGAAAATTGTTGACAAACCTAAAAACCAAAAAATTTTAGGGTGCAGATGGATCTTTACAAATAAATATGATTCTGAAGGTAACATAACTAAACGAAAAGCTAGACTAGTAGCAAAAGGGTGCGCACAGAGACCTGGAATTGATTTTGATGAAACTTGTGCACCTGAGGCGAGGCAAAGATCTATAAAAATATTGGTAGCATTGGCAGTCAAATTGAACTTGCAACTACATCAATTTGATATAACTACGGCGTACCTAAATGGTGAACTAAAAGAAACAATTTTTATGAAAGTCCCAGACTATAACAAAGAAAATATAATAAATTATGAAAACAAAGTATGTAAACTTGAAAAATCTATTTACGGATTGAAACAAAGCGGTAGAATTTGGAGTGAGAAGTTAAACAAATTTTTAAAGAAAATTGGAGCAATACAAATGAAAAATGAACCATGTATATACATCTGTAGAAATAATAAAAGGTTTTTAATCGTCGCGATTTATGTCGATGATATTATAGTTGCTTAAAATAGCAATGAAAATACAATATGGTTTAAAGAAAATCTTCAACAAAACTTTGAAATAAAAGATTTGGGTGCTTTAAAATATTTCCTATGAATTGAATTTAATAAAAATAAAAATGGCAATATCGTATTAACCCAAAAAAGATTTATAGAAAAAATTTTAAAGAAATTTAATATGGCAAATTGCAAGCCAGTTAAGACACCAATGGACCCAAATACCAAAATTTCAAATAATACGTGTGCTAAATCTGAAGAAGAAAGAAAAAACATGAATAGTATTTCTTATCAAAATTTAATTGGATCTCTTTTATACTTAGCTATTACAACGAGACCGGATATAGCATACTCTGTAAATGTTTTAAGTCGTTTTAATAACAATTTTGGTCAATCTCATTGGGTTGCAGCTAAAAGAATCCTTAGGTACCTTAAATATAGTATTAATTTTGGTTTATTTTTTAGTAAATCACAAGAAGACTTACGCGGCTATGCGGATGCAGATAGGGCATCCAATGTAGATAATAGAAAGTCGTGCACAGCTTAGATATTTTTTCAAGCTTTCAAATGGTCCTATATCTTGGGAAGTAAAGCAACAAAAAACGGTTGCTCTGTCAAGTGCCGAGGCGGAGTATATGTCGTTAGTAGAAGCGTCAAAGGAGGCAATATATCTTAAAAATTTGCTATACGAAAAGGGTATGAGAA